GTAAAATTTAGAGAATAGAGTGATTGTTTTTAGAGAAAATTTGGTACAAGTGATCGTCGGAAAGAGTTAGTGATTTGTGTCCTTTGCATATTGTATTATGCTACCTATACAAAGCCAAAAAAAAATATATTTGTATATTTCTAAACATAATATAAATACTATCAAAGAAAAATCAAAATTCTGGCTTTCAATTATATTTTGTTTAGTTTATTTTTTAGTACTATCTAAGAAAAATCTATTATTAGATTTCAATTATATTTTGTGATAAGTTATAAAATATAGAGTTTTCTAGGCTTCGCACTCTTACGTTATAGTTATATATTGCCTGACCAATTAAATTTGAAGATCATGTATGACGCACAAATTAATTTCATATAACAAAAATGAGATATTTTGTAATATCTCAAAATTTTGTTTATGAAACCACCTTTTGTGTTCTAACAAAAAAAATTATTCGCAAAATTTTGGTATATACTAACTCTATCTAACCCCAAACTTAGTCCTAACCCTAACTCTAATCTCAATCTAATTAATTTTTTATACAAAATTGTTTTAACACAGATTTACAAATTATAATTTATATGCATGTGATGAATTAGCACATCGCCGGGTGCGGCATATACATTTATCTATAAAATATAATTAAAAGTTTGATGATAGATTTATTTTAGACAATACTTATACAAAATATAATTAAAACCAGAATTTCAAATTTTTCTTGACAGTACTTATATGAAGATCAAAACAATAATTGTTTTTTTTTCAAAATTTATTTTAAAATTTTATCTAAAAAATCAATTTTTGAATATCAACAAAAAAATTTTTGTAAAATTTTAGTATATAAGAATCACTAAAAAAAAATCTAAAAATTTAAATATGATTTATATTTAAATTTTTAGATTTTCTTTTAGCAACATTCATATAACCTACTAATACTAACCCAAACTCTAACTTAGATATTGATTATATTTAATTAAAAATAATGCTTGAGATTAAAGATACAAACATAAAAATTTGCAAATTGTTAGTTATACAAAATATTATTATATAATAATAATTATATTAGTATAGCTAACAATTTGCAAATCTATATTTATTCTTAGACCCCAAGTATTTGAAATCTAATTTTGATAAGGCTATGCAAAATTAATTCATTGGTTTTCATAACCCGGCCAAGTCAAAATTTGAAAATTTGTAAAAAATTTTTTTTATATGTTTTAATAACCGGGTGGGCTTTTAAAGAAATTTTAATAACAAAACTTTTATAAAACTTTTATATATAAAATTTAAAAAAAAACCCCCGGCCGGGTCTGCTTAAAAGTTTCATGTTATGAAAACCAAGATATTAAATTTTGTGTGACCTAATCTAAAACCAAAAAAACTTTCTCTACATCAGTTTCGTGTAACATCACGTACATCAATTTTTTTTGACCAATAAAAATGCATTCTTTGTCAAAAAAAAAAATATATTAACTTTGATAAAAGATTAATTTTAAACTACAACAAGGCTTTAAACAAAAGATATATATATATTTTTAAAATTTAATGATTTTTTTTACATAAATTCATATATAAAATTTAGTGTCAACTTATTTGATTTATAATGAAAACCCCTATATAGTGATAGGAATCGACTAAATGTTAGTCGACTAAGTCAAAAATCAACTAATCAACTAAATTTTATTAGTCGACTAAAAATCAACTAAAAAGTAATAATAATGATCATTCGAAATGATCCAAGATAGATTATAAACGAACGGTTTCGGTTGAGCAAATTTCTTAATAAATATCCTAAAGATTCTGAAATCATATCCATAGAAGATATTTATACCAATAGTCAACCAACATTCAGATTGGGATTAGTTGACTTAATAGATTTCCAACACTATTTACATATATTATACGACTAGTCATAAAATTGTCGACTGATTAGTTGACTAAATTTCAGTCGATTCCTAACACTACCCCTATATAAAGACCTGTGACTGCTATATTAATTAGTAGTTTGGCCATTTTATATTAAAATTTCAAATTTGGTCGTATCATATATATAAAAATTAAATTTTAAATTTGGCCGTTAAAAATTTAATTTGTTGGACTGGTTGTCCGCAATGTAATACATATTTAAATTCTTCAATTTATTTAACTACGGGCACTTTTAAATTGAAAAATTTCATGTCCATTTATGCTTTCGTCTCCTAGATCATAATCGGTGAATATAACTTTATCAAATCCGTACAATTCTTTAAATCCGTTTATAAATTAGTAGATTTATATTATAATATTATATTAATGAACGCGTAAAAAATTTTTTTTACTTGCCATAATCATCAATGACCTCTCTGGACTTATAATCATCTGGATTAATCTCTGGAAATGGTAGTTCATCATATTTTATATTTTCAAACTCGTACGCAGTAACACTAGGCGGGTGTCGTAATGCATCCCAATCGAATTTAAGATCTTCATCCAATGGTTCGTAGGGTAGTTCTTTAAATGAAATTTACCAAATTTTTGGTACCAAAATATTTAACTTATCCCTACTAGGATTTGGAATTTTCGTATATTAAACCGATTTTAATCGGTTTTAATATACGAAAAAATAATCCTGGTTCAAAACTCTAAAGTTTTTACAAACCTTCGATTGGAGATGGACAATATTCTATTTCGGGCACGTCATCTTCTTCTTTTAGCTCATTAATTTTTTTTTCTATGTACTTAGCTTCATTTGTTTCGTTTATTTCATCCAATTTTGTTTCATTTATTTCATCTATTTCCTCCAATTTTAGTTCATTTATTTCATCTATTTCCTCCAATTTTAGTTCATTTAAATCGATTGTTCTAGTTTCGACATTATCTTTTAGTGTGCTTTTTTTCACTATTCGATCCTTTAACATGCCTTTTGAATTTTTTTGTTGCTTTGTGACTGCTGGCGTGTCATGATATCCATCTTTATTAAGCCTGACTGTCTTAGGTTGGGGTGTTTTATTGGTTATGTCGCGCAACGCACTTACCGGCGTTCTCGCCTGCTGAGCCGTGATAACTGCCTTAAGTTGAGGTGTTTTATTGGTTTTGTTGCGCAACGCATTTACAGGCGTTCTCACCTGTTGAGCCGTGACAACTGTCTTAAGTTGAGGTGTTTTATTGGTTTTGTTGCGCAACGCATTTACAGGCGTTCTCGCTTGTTGAGCCGTGACAACTGTCTTAAGTTGAGGTGTTTTATTGGTAACAATGCTAGAAGTTGTTGATTTGTTATTTTTTACAGTTGATGTTTTGAAAGACACCACATTTTCTTTTCCATCAATAACCGTCTGACGCTGTTCCTGCTGTTTTAAAAGACGCGACATGGTAAGCGAGAACCTGTAAAAAAAAAAAAAAACAAAAAAATTCAAATATATTAAGTGCCACTGTGGATTGACCAATCAAATTGCAAGATTTGAAATGTTAACAATTCAGCAGATCGGTCAGAATTATGGGTCGGATTGCACCGGCGTTAGGCCGGCATTAAGAAATAACAACTAATCCAAAATTATCATCTGGGCAGCTTTACTTAGTGAGTGGTAACTTACCGGTAACTTACTGTAAGTTTTGTACAACATATTTAGTTCAAAATTGTATAACAAATCAAAATTTTCGTAACTTTAACAATTGTTAATTTATCAATTTGATAATTTGCAATTTTATCCGGTTTCTTTATAACTACAAGTTTGTAACAACTAATATTTTGTTTTTCCAATTCCATTATAATATCCAAGCAAATATCCAAGCAAATAAGCAAGCAAAATAATTTCTTCGTATCTGTAAATTATTAAATTCAATTTTTATTTAATTATTTATACTTACACTTTTGACAAAGAATGTTCTTTCAATTTTAATTATGAATCACTACTAATATCTATGTATCTATTTTCATCATATGTAATTAACTCATTGTCTGAAAATAAATCGTCAAATACATTTTCTTCTAAATTTTCATTATCCATCGTCAAATCTTCAACAAAATTTATATTTTTATTTAATTCATCTATTCGACCCAGATCTCTTAAAATTTGTAAGTTCCATTGAATATAAACACATTTTTCTACTTTTGGATCATTAAGTCTATTATGCAGTTTATTATATATAAAGCAAAAAGTTGACCAATTTCTTTCACAAGCTGCTGAAGTAGGTGGTATTGATAATATGCGTAAAGCAATCTTACTTAATATAGGGTATCTACTTTTCAATAAACCCCACCAATTAATTGGATTTTGTACAAAATTAGAATTCCATAAATATGGTCGTACAAAATGTTCTTTTTTGGAAATATATTCTGCATATTTGTTTAATATAATTTCTTGATCTTGACTTGATACTAATCATATTAATTCATCTTCAATAATTGAATCCCATGTTTTTGGATTTAAAGTTTTGCCTTGATATTGAGAATTGAGTTTGTATGCCAATATAATTATTGGATTATAAAGAAAGTTATTTCATCGTTCTGTTTCTTTACTAATTGAATTAGTTTTAAAGTTATTTAGAATTTCAGTATTTTCAGAAATAGAGATTTTTAGTTTATATAATTTTGAATAAACAGTTGAAAGAATAGGTTGATCAGTTTGCAATTTTTTTAAAAAAATAGCAAAAGGTGAAAGAAAATTACAAAGAATTTTAAGATTAAACCAAAAATAATCTAATAAAATTAAATTTTTAATTTTATCATAAATTTTACCATTATCTTCTAATGTCATTCTTTGAATAGCCACCTTGCTTTCTAGAAGATTTTTTGCTGAATAAAATACAAATCTCCATCAAGTATCTCCAGGAAGTAATAAAAATATATGATTATTATAAATTTTCATTTGAAGTTGATATAATGTTGCTAAGCTTATTTGATAAATAATTAAGAATTTCTTTCATAGATTGTATAATTTGACATGCCCACTTTAAGTTAATAATATCCTTTATCCAAAGATTAAGTCCGTATACCCAACACTCTAAAAAAATCTAATAAATTATAATTTAAAATTAGATTATACTGCATATATAAATTATATTTAAATAAATAGATTATTATAAACAAACTTAATAAATACTTTTTGTGGAAATGATATTTGTAAAATTTTCTATGCTGCTTTTATAACATTAGTATTATCTGTAATAATTGCAGCAAACTTGTTTTCACTAACTTCATTAATAATATTTTCAATTCCTTTAGCTATATTAATTGCTGTATGATGTTCTTTATCAGTAAATATTGCTTTATAAAAAAACGGTCTTGGTATTGTAATCATATAGTTAATTACTGGCAATTGATGAATATTAGACCATCCATCACTTGTAATACAAAGATATTCTGATTTGTTTAAAATACTTTCAACTAGTTGTTTAATTTTTACATATTCTTGATTTAAAAGTATATTTGATAAATGATATTAGGATAGAACCTTAAACCATAAAATACGTTTTTGAAATACAGCTTTGATATCTTCATTTTCAATAATATTAAATAACATTTCAGCTGAATAAAAAGCTCATGCTAATAAATTTTTCAATTCCTTCTGATTACCTTTACTATGTTTATAAGTTAATTCATCTTGAATTTGCCGTTTTTTTTAAGATTTTATTATATTATTATCACTTGATATAGTATTTATTAATTCTTCTTCAATTAACTTTTTTTGATAATTGATGCATTTTTAAAGATGATTTTAAAGTTTTGAGGCATTTTTAGTATATTTGGTATTACAATGTTTATAACAATATTTTTCCAGTTTATTTGGATTATCTTTGACTAATTTGTATTCAAGCCAAAAAATACCTTTTTCTTGTGGCATTACTAAGCAATAAATTTATAATAGTATAATTTTACAATAATATAATTTTTATTTTTTATATAGCAATAGTATTTTAAACAATTTTATATTACATCATTATTATTATCGATTACTAATACTAAATTAGTTAATTATTACATAATTGGTTTTTATAATGATAACTTACAATTTATAACTTATTGGTAACTTATCATAGTAAGTTACTATAATAAGTTACTACTAACAACCCTGGCTACAGTTTCATTAGTAAAATTTTGAGTGATCCTGGGCAAAATTAATCAATGTCAGTGCATATCAGGTGTGTTAGTATTAGGATTGTTAATGAAGTAGCTTACTTCAGAGTAGAACCAACCCAAATTGAAGTAAGTTTAAAATATAGCGTTAAATTTGAAGCAACCTAGAGAACAACTCTAAAATCACCAGACAAAAAAATTTCACAAGTCACGTAGTACACCGATCACAGGATTTTCTGATTAAATATTGTTATTCTTTGCTTTGCAAAGGATATTATATGCTTTCACTACAGCTGTCATCTTTACTTCAGCATTTTTTTTACTAAACATTCTAGAAAATATAACTCTCAGACTACTTTAACTAACCCTAATCTTTTTTTTTTTTACCTTCACAATTTCACAGAAAGGTGAATTTTTATTAGACATTTTAGTAGTGCAGTATGTTCTTGGTTAATAAGAATACATTTAGCTACATGTGCAACTTTTGGTTGCCTATTTAAGTAATCTGCCCAAAGGTTTTACACTATATATCATATCTGTAATCTAACTAGGAGATTACCTATTTAAACTCTTTGATATCACCTGTTCTGCATCATCATCACAATTATGCTAGCCTATAACATTGTGCTGTTTCAATTTGAAGACCACTCAGATCGATATATGCTATACTACTTGATTCTAATTCTATAATAACCCAGTAGAGTTTTCATATTACCAGGTTGTCCTAGAGGAGATGTAATATATATCCTTCTAATCTTTTTATATTCTAGATTAGACAACAAATATTTTTTGTAATGGTTAAAACCACCACTAACAGTTAGAGCTAATTATTAAATTATACAATTTCAGTATTTGGACTCTTACAAGGTTTGTTCCAATCTCAATACCTGCATCAAACTGGTCTTTATACCAATCCTTTCCAAATTACTAAACTAGTTAGCCTAGATAGGTCATTATATCTAGACTTCCAATTTTACTTCTCTTGGTTTCTAATTTTATAGCATAGGATCTTTTCTTTCGATACGACTCTGATAGCCAGGTTGGTAAATTCTTCTTGTCCCAAGATTTTGTTTAGTTCTTCAATTTCTGGTTTCTAGCTTTCCACAGTATCATCAAAGATTTTTATTATCTCCTTGCTTGGGTTTTGCCAAATGGATTTTAATTATTCTTGTTCCTTAGATTTGGATTGCTTAAAAGCTTTTATTTCAAGATAGTAATATCAAGATTATAGATAATATACTCAACCAATTGTCAAATAATTGTTACCAATACATAGACCTATTTTTCTAAAAATGTTTTCAGTGGGATTTGAACTCTAGACCTGCTGCTTAGAGATAACAACTTAACTACTACTTTAAGTTGCCACATCCTTTTTAACTCTAATTTTAAAAAAGAATTTTACTAATCCAAAATTTAAGTTTTAAATTAAATTTATTTACACAAATTAGTTCTTAATTAATTTAATTAAGGGGTATCCATAAATAATGTTATACAAGAGGGGGTGAGAGTTTCACAAAAATAATGTTTTTTTATATTTTTTGCTAAGGTAGAGGAGAGTCAAAGGAAAATAACCTAATTTTTTTATATAAATATTAATATCTCATAACCCAGTAGTCCAAATTGGATGATTTGGTACTATTAGATTTGTCTTACTGAGAGAAATCTAATGATATCAAAATTATTTAATTTGGATCACTGGATTAAAAGATATTAGCAAAAAACTATTGACTATATTGTTACAAGTGGACTGTAGCCTTCTTAATACAGCACAAGTAACAAAGCACACAACTATAGAGCTCCGTTGCGAAATTATAGCAGTGTGGAAGTGGAATGTTACTTCACTAAAGGCAGTTTGTGGAAAGTATATAGTTAAAGAAAGATATATTTTATTTATGGTATATAAGACTTTAATTACAAGAAAGTATCCTATA